TTGTAGAGAGTTTGTCGTTTACATTTCTACTATTCTTAACACATCTACTTCTCTCCTTTAAACTTCTTTCTCAACGTTTAAACTTAATTTAAACTTAATTCTCATTAACTGTAAAATGGTAGAATTTGAAGTAGTTTGTAAGGAATTGGGTTTCTTGGCAGTTTGTGATTTTAAGGCTGTTTAAAGGTGGGGTAGGTAATTCACTTCAGAAACACGTGTTATATTCCATGGAACGCTCTTAACATCCCGATAGCAATGAATACATTAAATGCTTTGACAATAGATACATTCAAATATTTCATCTGTGGAAGCCGTGGCGCTGTAAAAAGCACGACCAATCATCTGAGCCGGCTAAAGTAACTGGATGGCCTACCTGCCTGTCAGCCTACCATCTGTGCACAAACTGATCTCTGCCCTCATTGGTCATGTGCGCCTTGAAGGAAGGGGCAGATTTTTACGATTACTTTCAAATTCTAGCGCACTCGAGCTGGTTTCTCCGTTCTTACCTCCCCTACTTTTAAGCGAGACAATGACATGTTGATAACTAGCTTGATTCGTGCTTAGTTCTCTCACAAATGTACTGCAAGATACACTTTTATGTATGACACCTTAAAACTAGGAAATTACGTTTTGGTCGAATAGATTTTCCTTAAAAATAGACTCTTAAACGCTATTTCAGTGAAACAAAGCCATGTTGTCAACATCAATGATTGTTGCTTGTTTCTTCTACTAAAATCGTTCAGATACACTTGTATGTATGAACAACTGTACAACTGGTAGACTCTGAGGTAGTTACAATACAACTTTATTTATAAAGCACTTTAAACCTCCAGACCAAAGTGCTGTACAGGCAAATAGATCAAACAAAGCATACAAAAAAGTAACACAGCTCAGCTCACACACCATAAAACAAGTACAAGTACAAACAATTTAAATGCAAAAAAGCAACGCTCTGAAAGATGTTGAAACGCCAAATGTTAAAACCCTAAGGAGAAGAGGTGGGTTTTAAGAAGCGATTTAAAAGCAGGCAGTGTGGAGGCCTGTCTGATCTCCAGGGGCAGAGCGTTCCACAGTGTGGGAGCCGCTACAGAGAAGCAGCGGCCCCTCTGAGCTTTGACCTGGTTTTAGGCACATTCAGGAGCCGTTGGTCCGCTGACCTGAGAGGGCGGTTCGGCGTGTAATGCTGTAGCAGCTCAGCAAGGTATGCTGGGGTCATGCCATTTAGGGATTTAAAAGTAAATAAAATAATTTAAAAATGGATCCTAAAATAAATTGGCAGCCAGTTTGTAAGGAATAGGGTTTCTTTAATGGCAGTTTGTGAATGTAAGGTTGTGTTAGTTGATAACTAGCCTGATGTATGCTTAGTTCTGATAAGCATAGGAAGGCATTCTTAAAAATGATTTCATGTGAACTTCTTACTGTATGAGGAGATTAAACTCTAAGAAGGTGCAAAGAAAGTTCATAGCGTCAAAGGATTACGGAGGATGTCCTTTCAGGGGTGGTCCTTCCCTTTTACCACTCGCTAATTATGAATGCTACATAATTCATAATAAAGAATTGAAATGTCGGAATTCTGAGAAAAGTCAGAAAAAGTCAGAATTCTACGATTTCTTTCAGAAAAAGTCTGAAAAAGTCCCAATAAAGTCTTTAGAATTCTTCGTACTAGACGTTCTGAGATGACAATGTCTAAAGTATTGAAGAGGATTAGGGTCACATGGGGATTTTTTCAGAAATTAAAGTCAGGATTCTGAGAAAAAGTCAGAAAAAGTCGGAATTCTGAGAAAGGTTTTTTTTTTTTAAAAGTCCCAATAAAGTCTATAGTCAGAATTCTTCTTTCTATACGTTTTGAGAAAGAGACAGAAATCTGAGAAAAAGTCAGAATTCAGAGAAAGCCTGAAAAGTTCTCACTAAAGTCGGAATTCTATTTTGAAATAAAAGTCCAAACAATGATTTGATGTGAACTTCTTACTGTATGAGGAGATTAAACTCTAAGAAGGTGCATAGAAAGTTCACAACGTCAACGGATTACAGAGGATTTATCGAGATTAAGAGATTTCAGGGGTTCCCTTTTTACCACTTTTCAGCGAACACTAAGCCTGCTCACAGAGAATAGAGACAGGCGATAAGGGTCTTAATCCCTACCATGTGCACTCTTAAGACTGGGGGAAAAAACAGCGCTGCTTGAACACTTTAATCAGCGATTGGGAGATACCGGCGAAAAGGAGGAGATGAAACGCTTGGAAGTGCCAGATCAGGATTTTACGTCAAGCATGATTGTGCAAAGAATGACTCAAGGGGGATTTGGTGTCTAAAGTTTAATCCAGATCTTTGCTGGAGTGTGAAAAAAACTCATGTTCAATCAGGCACTGCAGGTCACAAGACTTTATCTCCAGTCTCGCAGATTGGAAGTAGCACGCGGAGATTTCTCCTCTCACGTTGACGTGTCACAAGGTCACGATGTGTCAGAGGTGAGCGAGAGGACGTAATTAAAGAGAGATTTGGACCACCGGAGTCTGACTCGTGCTCTGATTCAGAGAATGGGAGGAAACAGAGAGATTAGAAAAGGTTAAATAGAGTTTAGTTAGAGATCAGGAGCAATCTGGAAAAGAAGCATGGGAGTCGGTTCAACAAACCTTCGGTACTTTTTATCAGACTGATGTGTTCTCTTGATTTACGGATTGAGTTGACACTGATAGATCTAGGTTTGTTTTGCATTAGTAGGATTATAAAGAGCATTGGAAATTATATTTGTATCATTTCAACCATATTCAATGTAAATATTGCTATATTTTACAATTTGTTTTAATCAATCAATCAATCAATCAATCAATCAATCAAGGTTTATTTATAGCCCAATATCACAAATGTTACATTTGTCTCAGTGGTCTTCACAGTGTGTACAGAATATCAGTATGACAATACGACACCCTCTGTCCTCAGACCCTCTGTCCTTAGACCCTCTGTCCTTAGACCCTCTGTCCTTAGACCCTCACATCGTACAAGGAAAAACTTCCGGAGAAAACCCAGTTTAAAGGAAAAATGGGAGAAACCTCAGGGAGAGCAACAGAGGAGGGATCCCTCTCCCAGGACGGACAGACGTGCAATAGATGCCGTGTGTAAATTGAAAAGATAATACATTTGCAGCATAGGTAGTCCAAATGTTTGGAAATGCATGTGTGTATAATAGGAAGATGAATCCACGAGGATATCCATCCAGGACCTATGATCCAGGACCACAGCCACGACTCAAGATCCAGGGCTCGCGATCCAGGACAGAGGATCGCAGGATCATCCATGACTCCGGATCCCGGCGTATACAGACACCAAAAAGAAAGAAATGTGGGGAAGCTGGGTTAATGGGAACATGAGAGTACACAGGTATAGACAGAGAGAAGGAAGAAGTAAGATGTCCCCCGACAAACTAAGCCTATATCAGCAAAACTAGGGGCTGAATCTAATCAGCCCTAACTATAAGCTTTATCAAAAAGGAAGGTCTTAAGCGCACTCTTAAAAACGGATAGGGTGTCTGCCGCCCGAACACAAACTGGAAGCTGATTCCACAAATGTGGAGCTTGATAAGAAAAGGCTCTGGCTCCCATTGTACTTTTAGAGACTCTAGGAACAACCAACAACCCTGCATTCTTGGAACGCAATGCCCTAGTAGGACAGTAGGGTATAATGAGTTCTTTAAGGTAAGATGGCGCCTGCCCATTACGGGCTTTGTAGGCGAGAAGAAGCATTTTAAATTCTATCCTGTGTTCTATAGGGAGCCAGTGTAAGGCAGCCAGAACAGGAGTAATGTGGTCCCTTTTCCTAACTCTGGTTAGTACACGAGCTGCAGCATTTTGAATCAGCTGAAGCGACTTGACTGACTTCTTGGTACACCCTGATAATAAAGAGTTACAATAATCCAGCCTTGAAGTAACAAATGCATGGACTAGTTTCTCTGCATCGTTTTGAGGCAAGATATGCCTGATTTTTGCAATGTTACGTAGATGGAAGTAGGCGGTCCTTGAAATTGATTTTATGTGGGCGTTAAAGGATAAATCCTGATCAAATATAAAACCAAGATTCCTTACAGTCTCACTGGAGGCCAAATTAATGCCATCCATAGTTAGTATATCCTTAGATAATTTGTTTCGTAGATTCTTTGGGCCAAGTACAATAACTTCAGTTTTGGTCGTGTTTAACATAAAAAAATGTAAGGTCATCCACGTTTTTAAGTTCTTGAGGCAGTCTTGAATTTTATTTAGATGATTAATTTCATCAGGCTTGATGGATAAATATAGTTGATATATTTTACAATTTGTTTTAATGTTATTATAGTTTTCTTCAAATAGTTCTCTATCTGTGTTTTTTATTTTTGTTTTATTTGTATGTATATACCACAACACCAAGTCAAATTCCTCGTATGTGTTACCTGGAAATAAACCTGACTCTGCTTCTGATTTCTGAAAGACGTTGTTGACGTTTTCTGGTTGAACGAACTGATTCCATCCTCCTGACTGGAAACATCTCTAAAAGCCCTTGAGAGAATTTCTTTGAATTCTGCACAAAAATCCACTCAGATTCAAGAATGAACTGATGAGAACATGGAGAGAAACTCCCTCCGGTGGGAACACAGGGATTTTAGCCTTTGCAGACCATTTACATGCACTACAACCTATAGAACACACTAGAGGAAAAGGGAAAACCCCATAATGAAGGGCTTCTTTAGTTCGAAAAACAACCCATTCATACCGTTTAAAGACAGTAGGGAAAGACAAAATGGTACATTCAATATTCCAGTGGAAGTGGAATCCTTTACTCCAACATTTTACCCTTACAGGATGACATTAGCTTACATATTGTATGGTGTTTTAATTTGCTAATGCAGAGGTTGAGACACCGTGCATGTCTGGTATGTTTGTACCGACAAAATATTAACTAGACTGGACCTTTTGTGCAATCCACCTTTAAACTGATTAACTGATTGTTCCCTTTGTTTCTTCCACCAACAGCTTTCAAGACCAAGATCAAGGAGGTGACGCGGGAAAACATGGACCGCAAGGTGGTCCTGCAGAAGAGGAAGAAGATGCTGAAGACGGGGAACCTGAAGAAGAAGGACATGAAGTCGCTGGTGTTGTACTTGAAGAATGGCGCCGATTGTCCCTGCCAGCAACTGGACAACCTGGGGAACCAGTACCTGATTATGGGCCGCAAGGTGGACAAGCAGTTCCTCCTCACTGGGATCCACAAGTGGGACAAGTCCAGCAAAGAGTTCAAAAAGGCCATCAAGAAACTCAAGACCTACAAATGTCCCGCCTTCGAGAACGTCTTCAAATAACGCGTCCCCCGTCGTCCTTCGTTCGCATCTCATCCTACATATGAACTTGCACAAAATCCTAAACTTTGCTTTCTATTGTCCTGTTTATATATCTATATCTTTGTATATTTACAGATATACTTTGGAAACGTCCTTTTGTTAAGTTTTAAAATGATTGTGGTGAGTGATGACACCACAGTAAACTGGCTTTCCTTTTTTTAAATCTGCCTTAAGAAAAAGGACTTTGTAGTAAAAGCCCTTCCTCACTGAAATCATTTCCACTATGTTTGTAGATACAGTATCTTTCTTACTCTTGCTTAAAAGTTGAGTGGATTTTATCACGAAGCGCTCAATAAGAAGATCGATACCACTCTTCTATCTCTACTTTAAATATTAAGCTATAATCAGAAGGTGGCTAACTTAGCCTAGCCTAGCATAAGTAGCAGAGGTTAGCTGGGTTTGTCCAATAGCTAAAACACATACCGTTGGTTGTTATTGGTACAGATTAAACTAATGAAATGTGTGTCAATTAGTGAGTTAAAAAAGTTCTGATAGACATGTTGTGGACCAACCAATGCTAGATGCCTCAAGTCTTTATGCTAAGCTAACCATGTGGCGCTAGCTTCATATTTAGCTTGCAAGTAGAGTGGATTTTATAACTGAGAGCTCAATAAGAAGATACCACTCTTGTATCTCTACTTTAAATATGAAGCTAGGATCAGAAGGTGGCTAGCTTAGCTTAGCTTAGCCTAGCATATGTAACAGAAGTTAGCTGGGTTTGTCCAATAGCTAAAACAAATAGCATTTGTTGTTATTGGTACAGACTAAACTATGAAATATGTGTACATTAGTGAGTTTATTGTTGACATGTCTTGAACAGAGCCATGCTAGCTGCCTCAAAGCTTTATGCTAAGCTAACCATGTGGAGCTAGCTTCATATTATAGCGTACAGACTCAAGAGTGGTGTAGATCTTCTCCTCTAACTCTCAGCAAGACAAATGTTTAACTTTTCTTTCAGATAGTCTTATCATTTAATAACAAATCATAAAACCAGTTATTAGACTCCAGATTACTGTTGAATAACTTATGGACAGAGTTCTGCCGTCAGCTGATTGAAGAATGCACTACCAATCATTTTGATCATTTCCTTTTCATTTAATTATTGACTAACCACCAATCTGCGTCATGAGATAACATGAGGCCTTTATGGTAGATTTCTTTATACCTGTTGTGCGTTGTTACCTGATATGTGTGGTGTTAGCACCACTTTTCTTACTCTCTACATCCAGTCTTCAGTAATCAGTACAACAAGTGCAAAAATTGCAATTTCTGTATTCTGTTTTTTTTGTTTTTCTCAATTGTCACAATCGGTTTTAGCACTATTTTGTTTCAGTTTGAATGTCAGCGGTGCATTGCTGCCTATTACTTGTACATACACATTTTACATAAATATGTAAAACTGAAAAAGTGTCTCTTTTATTATTTTGTTATAGTTTTAAATCTGTTTTTAAAGGGTGTGTTTATGTCCATTTCGGTTGATTGGTTTGTCCTGTAACATATCTCACCAACTACAGGATGGATTGAAATTACATGTGGTACAGACATTTGTGGCTTAATAACAATATGGAGGTGATCACGTGACTTCACCTGTAGCAGCGAGGAATCAATATTTCCAGACTTTTATTTTCCATTTGCTAAAAGAAACGTAGCATTATTTAAATTCACTGTTTATCACTGTTATGGCAACAACATAAAACCGTTTTATTCAAATCTGATGTTTATAAACTGCTTAGTTTCTGCAACTGTAAAAATATCTGTGAATATTCAAAACGTTACAGTCAAATGAACAAGTCTACAGTTTTCTAGACTAGACATGGGTATACAATCATAAGTAAAACGTAACCATGAAGTTATTCAACACAGTCTGAATAGCCATTAACCTGTTAAGCCCCATAGCCCAATGTGTCTGTGTCACTTTGAAATGATTACTGATAATCCATCATACATTTTTTGTCAAAAACCCTAAAAAACTGAGATTTCATATAGAGTGTGTGAGGAATACAACCCATCTTCCGGTTTTGGGCGTGCTGGCATGCATTCACCAATGGGTAATGTTTAGATGGATTGTAGGAGCTTCCCCTCAATTATATTGGCTCTAACTGTTAAAATGTCAATCATCAAAATCGACCAATGGGGGCCAGGATATGGAAAATCCACCCAAATGGCCCCAGAAGTGGGTTTCTTTTGCTAAACCTCTCTAAAAAGGTCAAATGTCACTTGTTTTGCATCAATCTTGATACAGTGTACTTATTATATGTTGTAGTTTGAATTCCTAAAGCTTTTAGTCTACTATCCCATCATTCAAGGCTGGTTTTCACTATAAGTAAGTAATGGGTTATTTTTGGACGGACACTATAATTTACATTTTTTGTTCAATCTTAAATTTACTTTAAAATAAAAAACATCTATAGATTCTGACTTTTCTACATCTAACTCACAGGTTTATCATTGCTTTGAGAAACAGGATTATTAATGTACCCCTTTTAGAAGTGTCATTTGTCTGGGCATGTCATTTTGGAGCCTGAGGCCTGAAAAACAGGCTTGGGTCTTAACAGGTTAAGAAAGAAGTAAATGCAGCATACAAGTGTTGTAATTTGCTTATTGAATATGTCCCTAAAAGCTGTTTCAATGTAAGTTAGTTTCTTTTGAATCAGAAATAAAGAAATAATAATAAGTAATGATTATGATAAAACTCAACAACTTAAGTGGCGGTTTTTTTTTTTGTAAACGTTTTTTTATATTTAAAATCGATGTTTATAAGCTGCTTAGTTTTTGCAACTGTAAAATATCTGTGAGTATACAAAAACTTTACAATCAAATGAACAAGTCTACAGTTTTCTAGACTAGACACAGGTATATAATCCTAATTAAAAAGGTAACCATGAAGTTGTTATCATCGAAAGCACAAACGGAGTGGAAGTGGGTAGGGGTCGGTTTGGGATTGGGCCAACATACTAGAAAAACTAGTGAATTCCAGTCGACAACATCTGTGTGCGATACCTATTGTGCTAATTAGCAAAATGGCCTTTCAAACACCAGAGTGACAGGCTTACAGCAAATGTATTTTTATTCGAATTGTCACGTAGCTTTTTGCTGGTAATCCTAATGGAGCTGATGTATAAATCATGTGAGATTGTAGGAAACAACACGTGATTTTAAAAATGCCGTAGTTTGCTTATTGAATATGTGCCTAAAAGCTGTTTCAAACTAAGTTAGTTTCTTATACACTTGTGGCTTCCCAAACCTTTATTTCAAAGACCTTCCATCCTCTCCTTTTTCCTCTTTAAACCACAATGAGGGCCTTTGTATGTGCTGTGTGATTTTTATTAAATCATCCGTGCCAAAACAGCCATCCTGTGTTTTGACGGTTATGTCAAACAGAGGACTTTTTGTAGCTTTGCCAAACCTACATTTTAACGATTTTTGGGAGAGATAAAGCAAAATCTACTCAGCGAAGAACCCTCTTGTTTTCATTCCCCTCATGTCTGCGAGGGTTTCTGTGGTTTCACAGGCTGCCTCGGTATGCGGTGTTTAAATGCTAATCCTGAGACATAGCTCATTAAGATCTCATGCTGATAGAGAACTCCAATGCTTTCTTAACCAAAAGGCTAATCAACTGTCAGACCCTGAAAGATTTGTTTTCACAGAGTCTGCTGATGGATGTGGTTTCCATGCTGAGCAGGCGTCACTTTCCCGCTGCATTTCATTTGATTCATGAACGGTAAGATGCAAATGTGCACAGAACACAAACAGCAGCTTTTTGTTTCCCTCGCACACAACAGAAACATAGATCCGAGTCACTGGATGATAAATGTTTGAATGTAAACAATTTTACGAGCTGAAATCCATCATGTCCGTGCAACAGGCGTAAACAACAAAACATGAAACCATTGTGTCAATAAAAAGGCTTGTTAAAAAAAACAGGAAGTATCAAACGGACCAACGTCTCGGCCCATCTGGTTCCAGTAACGGCTCTGGAATTGGAAAATATATCTCAGATGTGGACTTTGCTTTCTAATCATTACTTCAGCTGCCTTCAAAAGAGTCAGAAAACCCCGGGCCCGGATCCAAATTTGTCCTATTACGAGAAAATATGAAGAAACATCCTGATGCATTCCTTCGTTTACAGAAAACCTCAAAGATGATGAAGTGCTTTTTTGATTGTTTCCACCTCAGGAACATATTCGATCATCACTCCAATATGATTACAACACACTTCAAGTCTTTGTCCTAACATGCTGCTACAGGTCTGATTGGATCAAGAAACATCTCCAGCAACTTGACAACACATGCAGCGTTTAGAGGACATTCAGCAGCTCGAGGAGACGTTTACTAAAAGCTGCAGGAACCAAACGCTGAAGAAGCTCAAAACACAACGGAGACCAGGGGACACTAAAGAGTGACGCACACAGCTGGGAGACCAGGGGACACTAAAGAGTGACGCACACAGCTGGGAGACCAGGGGACACTGAAGAGTGACGCACACAGCTGGGAGACCAGGGGACACTAAAGAGTGACGCACACAGCTGGAGATCAGGGGACACTAAAGAGTGACGCACACAGCTGGGAGTCCAGGGGAAACTAAAGAGTGACGCACACAGCTGGAGACCAGGGGACACTAAAGAGTGACGCACACAGCTGGGAGACCAGGGGACACTAAAGAGTGACGCACACAGCTGGGAGACCAGGGGACAATAAAAGGTGACGCAGACAGCTGGGAGACCAGGGGACACTAAAGAGTGACGCACACAGCTAGGAGACCAGAGGACACTAAAGAGTGACGCACACAGCTGGGAGACCAGGGGACAATAAAGAGTGACACACAGAGCTGGGAGACCAGGGGACACTAAGAGTGACGCACACAGCTGGGAGACCAGGGGACACTAAAGAGTGACGCACACAGCTGGGAGACCAGGGGACACTAGATAGTGACGCACACAGCTGGGAGACCAGGGGACACTAAAGAGTGACGCACACAGCTGGGAGACCAGGGGACAATAAAGGTGACACACACAGCTGGGAGACCAGGGGACACTAAAGAGTGACGCACACAGCTGGGAGTCCAGGGGAAACTAAAGAGTGACGCACACAGCTGGAGACCAGGGGACAGTAAAGAGTGACGCACACAGCTGGAGACCAGGGTACACTAAAGAGTGACGCACACAGCTGGGAGACCAGGGCACACTAAAGAGGGACGCACACAGCTGGGAGACCAGGGGACACTAAAGAGTGACGCACACAGCTGGGAGACCAGGGGACACTAAAGAGTGACGCACACAGCTGGGAGACCAGGGGACACTAAAGAGTGACGCACACAGCTGGGAGACCAGGGGACAATAAAAGGTGACGCACACAGCTGGGAGACCAGGGGACACTAAAGAGTGACGCACACAGCTAGGAGACCAGAGTACACTAAAGAGTCACGCACACAGCTGGGAGACCAGGGGACAATAAAGAGTGACACACACAGCTGGGAGACCAGGGGACACTAGAGAGTGACGCACACAGCTGGGAGACCAGGGGACACTAAAGAGTGACGCACACAGCTGGGAGACCAGGGGACAATAAAAGGTGACACACACAGCTGGGAGACCAGGGGACACTAAAGAATGACGCACACAGCTGGGAGACCAGGGGACAATAAAAGGTGACACACACAGCTGGAGACCAGGGGACACTAAAGAGTGACGTACACAGCTGGGAGACCAGGGGACACTAAAGAGTGACGCACACAGCTGGGAGACGAGGGGAAACTAAAGAGTGACGCACACAGCTGGGAGACCAGGGGACACTAAAGAGTGACACACACAGCTGGGAGACCAGGGGACACTAAAGAGTGACGCACACAGCTGGGAGACCAGGGGAAACTAAAGAGTGACGCGCACAGCTAGGAGACCAGGGGACACTAAAGAGTGACGCACACAGCTGGGAGACCAGGGGACACTAAAGAGTGACGCACACAGCTGGGAGACCAGGGGACACTAAAGAGTGACACACACAGCTGGGAGACCAGGGGACACTAAAGAGTGACGCACACAGCTGGGAGACCAGGGGACACTAAAGAGTGACGCACACAGCTTGGAGACCAGGGGACACTAAAGAGTGACGCACACAGCTGGAGACCAGGGTACACTAAAGAGTGACGCACACAGCTGGGAGACCAGGGGACACTAAAGAGTGACGCACACAGCTGGGAGACCAGGGGACAGTAAAGAGTGACGCACACAGCTGGGAGACCAGGGGACAATAAAGAGTGACACACACAGCTGGGAGACCAGGGGACACTAGAGAGTGACGCACACAGCTGGGAGACCAGGCGACACTAAAGAGTGACGCACACAGCTGGGAGACCAGGGGACAATAAAAGGTGACACACACAGCTGGGAGACCAGGGGACACTAAAGAAT